CTTATAGTTTTTATCTCGCAAAACGTACAATTAAAAACATTAAAAACTTCATTGTAAATCTCGTCATGTGTAGAAAAAAAAAGATTATTTTATCTTATTTTACATTCCCGACTCCTAATGTTCATTTTAATGGGGAAAAAAAATTGTAAAAACTTATGTGAAATATAGTGACACCTCCATTTTTATTACGTCGAGTTTAAGGAAACAACAAAATTTGGATGAATGTTTTTAACTTATTCTGTCGCTCTCACTTGACTCTCAACTAAAAGTAACTTATCATAACATTTCAACAACAACATGTCTGCTAGATGACAATGGTGATAAGGCAAACCAGAGCTCATTGAGTCGGTTGAGTTACAAAATTTATTATTAATACGTTATATCAGTTTCACTGAAAACATGTAGTGGGCAAGTTAAGAGTAATGTGTCTTATCTTTTATTATGGAACTTGAAGTTTATTGAATTGAATACTTACCTGTTGATGCTGGCGCATTCGTGGTTTCCTCTTAAGAGAAAAAAGTTGTTAGGATACTTGATTTTGTAGGCTAGCACGAGGCATATGGTCTCCAAGGACTGGCGCCCCCTACATATATAAATAGAGAATAATTTCAGAAAATGTATAAATATTTTATAAGAGGTTGTTTGAAGAGGTTGGGTCTTTATGTGTAATCACTCGTTCGAATAATTAAAAAAAAAGATTTTGAACGTTTGGTGAAACGACGATTATCGTCGCTGACGTCGCTTCATCCAGAGTTCTCTGGAACATAATATCCGGATAAGACTTCGATGACTCGTGAAAAATTTTTACAAATGAAAGAACTCGATCCAATCAGCGGAAATACGTGTTTCGGTCATCCCAGTTCTTAGGTATCGCAGAAAACTACAAATATTGTGATGTTCAAGTTTCCGGTCTTGAATAGTAAAGTTGCCCACAGATGTGTTAAAGTTTGCTTAAAAAAATATGTAAGTTTGTTGTGTTTTGTTTTCGTGCTGTCTTAACTATATTTGTTACCCATGTCTATTATCGCCTTAATATATATATATATTGTGTGTGTGTGTGTAAATTAATTTGGCATACCTAATGCTTGTTATTGTCTATCAGAATATATATATATATAAATCTATTGGCATACCTAATACTTGTCAGTATATATAAATATATATGCACTTGGCATACCTAATACTTGTCAGTATATATAAATATATATGCAGTTGGCATACCTAATACTTGTCAGTATATATAAATATATATGCACTTGGCATACCTAATACTTGTCAGTATACATAAATATATATGCAC